TGGATCTGAACAAACTACGGATAGCCTTGGGAAGAATAGGAATTCCAGAACACCTCATTGTGTTTATGTGGACTTTATAGATGTATCAAGAGTTATTGTGTGAACAGAACAAGAGAATACTACATAGGTTAAAATCAGGAATGGTATGTGTCAGTGTTGTATTCTATCACCATATTTATTCAATCTGCATGCTGAGCAAATCAGAGAAGATGAACTGCATGAAGAAGAATGTGGTATCAGGATTGGAGGAAGGCTTATTAACAACCTGCGATATGCAGATGACACAACCTTGCCTGCTGGAGGTTAGGAGGACTCAACGTACTTGCTAATGAAGATGAAGGGCTGTAGCCTTCAGTATGCTTTTCAACACAAAGTAACAAAGATCAAAAATCCGTACAACTGGGGGGTACCTCCTTGTACACTGGACATTTTGTTAGGAAAGACTATTTCCTCAGAGAAGGACATCATGCTTGGTAAAGCGATGTGATAGGTTTTTTTTGTGCCAACATGGCTTCTGTAGGAACATGTGGGCAGAGCTTAGCCTGTCAATCAGGTTACAGCTTGATTGAAGGGTGACCGAGATAAATTGGTCTCTGGAAGCCGGCCTCCTTCTCTCTCTGCTTTATCTTCCTGTTGATGAGACACTTTGGGCCATGCTAATGGCAGTCAGAGCCCTGGAAATGCATCCACAGCCACTGGATCTAAAAGGCTTTGCACCCATTGCACTGTGATCTTCCTGCATTATGAATCATTGCATGTGACTGCATGAGTCTGAAGAGGAATTTATGAACTAGTATCAGTGTGGACTAGTATTGGACTTACAGACTTGATCGGAAGTGGGCTGGAATATTTGCTTGGTATATTTTTGAGCCTGTGAATTAGTGCACATTGCTGCTTACTTTAAGAATAGCTTTCCCTGATTTGACTTTGCTGAAAGACGTAGACTTACAAGGTTCCAACTGGAATAAATATTCTTCACATCAAAGAACATGATTGTCTCCTCAGAGCACTGGGTTGATATAAATGTGCAGTTTGGAAATTAGATACTCCAAATGGGGAGAGATAGAGGCACGAAGTTGCTGGCTTTCATCCAACTTTCTTGCATGGTGGAAGATGTTGATAGGATTACAGGCTTAAGGTGTAGGTATTCACATAGCAACAATTGTTAAACAGAATATTTTGGTTTGTTCACTTACAGAATGTAAGATTTAAATGGGGCTTATGATTTTCAGTTGTACACATGTTAGCTGTATCATGTTAGGCACAAATAAGATTTTACTATTGTCTTTGTTTTACGATTGTGTATGCATATAGAGTTGTGTACAGTTGTCAAGTTGACAAGGGGTGATCAGCCTGTTCTAGTTAGATAATTATATGTCAACTTGAAGATTTAAGAAAGCGTAAAAGTGGAAACAAACCTGTCAATCAGGTCGCAGTCTGATGGTGCCTCCTTGTGGACACGACCTTATAAGGAGGGCCCTGGAAATTCCCTCTCTCTCTGCCACGGACCCTGAGGTTTGCTGGTGGCCTGCCATGTTTACACTGACCTTGGATTCACAAGACTGTACCCACCAACCTGTGATCTTCCTGCATTATTGTATCTGGCAGTGTGATTCTGTAGTGGGACTTATGGGCTAGGACCGGACTTAGGGACTTTTGAGTTGGACTAGGCTGGGCTTTTTTTTTTAGTAAAATTCTTTATTATTATTATTATTTTTACAGTGCAATATGCAGTCTTTATAATGCCTACGTCAGGTATTGGAGGATTCCCTCATCTTATCAACATAGGCTGGTTTAATGACCTGTCTAGCTTAGTCCTTTGTTGGAAGTTGCCTCTGAGGTTGGTGTCCATAGTGTGAACTCTGTTGAGGATCCCAAGGAAAGAAGCTGGGGTCATTCTAATATACTTCCTAAAACAAGAGGTTCAAAATATTACAATTCAATTGGTGAAATATATTATCTGTAATATCCCGATTCTATTGTAATTATATTTCATATTTTACTATCATACATAACTTGGAAAATATTCCAAAGAAAACTTGAAGTCAATGGAATAAATGAGGACTTAACACATTTTATTTTCATTTTCTCACATTAGAGTTCTTTAAATGCCAAAATACTAAATGAGTAGCACATCATTAGTCTTTAATTTATTCTATAATTTTATTACAATTATGATCAAAATTCTAACTAGATGTGTTAGTGGTTGTGTTAGTCTGGGTAGACTAAAGAATCAAATTCATAGACACTCATATGTATATAGGAAAGAGCTTTATATGCAAGAGCAATTGAATATTGAGAAAACATCCCAGCCTAGTCCAGATCAAATTATTAAGTTTGATATTAGCCCATATATTCAATACCAATCTATAAAGTCCTCTTCAGACTCATGAAACACATGAAATGATGCCAGATGCAGGAAGATCACAGACCAGTGGGTGGGAAGTATTTTGAACCCAGTGACAGTATAAGCATCTCATGGCTCCTGCAGCTCCCAGGGCTCTGGCTGCATTAGGGTAGGTCCATGTGGCTTCTCCTCAAAGAGGTCTTCCAGGGAGTGAGCCTGTGTCCCGCCTCCAATGAGCTATTTATCTCCTTAGAGTCTCCAAATGAGGTCATCAAGCTGTGACTTGATTGACAAGCCAAATTCCACACTTTCACACATAAGTCTCAAATCAACAGATTATGGAACTACCACAGTGGTACAAGCAGGTTACGCTCCTGGACGGCCATGATCTCAACAGTCAGGTCCCAGCACAGCACGGGTCGAGAGGGCAGGGGAGAGTGACGCAGAGAGAAAGATTTATTGCTAACCAAGGGTTATATATCTTTGGAGGTGTACATGCCTCCTAATTACAGGTAAAGGCACACGTCACAGGAAAGGGTTGCACAATAGGCAATACAAGCAATAGGTGGGATATATATATATATATATATATATATACACACACACACATACATATGCCTCTCGATTTGTTTCTCTAGTCAACCCGACCTAACACAGTTGTTTTGGTACACATCAAGCCAAAAGCTTGCTAAGGCCCAGATGTTCACTTTAAATTGAAAATGATAAGCGTGTGAGCTCCCATTTTCAGTAACTGTAGAATCATGGGTAATAATCCTGTCCTCTTTCACTAGTTTCTGCGGTTCAGACACAGTTTCTTCATTTATTCAGGGTGACATAGTCTTCCCCCCTTTTGGGTCATCTTTGAATTCTTCCTGATCTTCCTTCAAATACTTGATTTTACATTTAAAACCTGTTGTTTTTCTTGTGGAGCTGTATTCATGTAAACTTTTTGCAAAGCTTCAATAATTTACGAAGATGTCCACTTGAGTTTTGTTAAGAATTTTCCGACCTCAAGATAATTTTTGTCATGCTACACAAATGACCATTTTTTGAAGGCACTCTAATAAGACTAGGAAATTACATGGCTGAGGAAAATTGTTTTCAACCATCCACCAATCAGAAAGACAGATTTGGACACATTTTCTTTTTAATAAACCCATGCATGTACAAAATGGAACTCAAATAGCAATACGTTGTGACTTATCCTTATATGTAATTCATGCTTGACGTTTTTTCTTATTCCATTTTAGTATGATAAAAAATAAGCATGTATATGCTTTCATTTCAGCTGTGTCAATCCAAAGCCCAGAAATTTGTCAAGTTATTGGGGGTGGAACCAAGCTGAGGGCTTCTGTATGGGTGGCAGATGCAGTCATTCTCTGTAAGTCTAAATTTCTACAGTCTGAGGCACCCTGGTTTAAGGTTACTCCTCTGCTTATGCAGCATCACAGGTACTGGGCTTACCTCATAAAGGGCCAAAGCTATGTCTACCCTGGAGAGCAGATTGAGAGGACAAAAACATCCCAGAGCACAGCCTGACAAAAGAGTCAAGTTTAGGAGCAAGAACGGACTTGGCTGGAAATAGAGTGAATAAAGAGGTGGAACAGCCTGAAGCACAAGGTCTAACTAAGAAAGATTCATTGGTTTCTGGGCAAACAACCCAAAACACACCACCAAGAGAAATGTGGCAAAACATTTGATTCTCAGGTAGGTTTACGGTATAGCTGTCTTGTGTGGGTAATTTTCTTGAAACAACGGGTTCCCTACAGGTACACCCTTGGCAAGCTATTTAAGGGATCATGGCGATATGACAGGGAAGAAAGGCTCACAGATCATAGTTAGATGCCTTCATCATAGTTAAATCAATTTAGAACATGGAGTGAAAAGCAAGATAATGAAATGGGATAGGTAAAAACATGTAAGATCCAGGAACAAGTGAGGTGAGTGGAAAGATCGCAGCACCTTGTCCTGGAGTTGGTAGTGCTCCCTTCTTTCTTCTTTGTCAGTCTCCTCCTTGTCCTTAGGAGGACTGGAGTGGAGCAAGGTTGTCACAGACTGGAAATGCATTGAGACAGTAACATGGACTTGCTCTACTGGAAAAACGCAAGCATGTAGGCCTGGCCATAGCAGTCATAGCTCACCGAGAAATTGCTGCAAAACTGGGGATTTATTTGTGTTTTGTATCACCAAGAGTAGTCAAATTAAGACCCCAGAAGTCTCCAAGATACTCAAATAGATGATAGTATGAAAATTCACAAACCTGATAGGAAGGATAAAGCTGTTGGAAGTGCAGCCTTGAGGGATGTACAAAGGCATAGGATACTGGTGGAGGATTTCCACACATGCCTTGGCAAAGCTTTGGGAGAATAAGGTGAGGTCCAGGATTGATGTTCTCCAGTGGAAGCATAAATAGAATATCCCGTTTGTGTCTGCTTATGCAGACATATATGTTTATGCAAATATGTGGAGGCCTGGATTCATCCCCAAAGGAAATTTGATTTCAGCTTTCTCACTCATTTTTTTTTCCTGGGAGGAGAAGCTGTAAGAAACAGATTTACTAGTAGATCCCTTTTCCTCCCCAGGAGTGTTCTAAGAAGGTGTGACAGAGAGCTGCACCCAACCTACTTCTAGCCCTGACCCTAGGAGGACAACCATGGCCATCTCCTGCCAGACTCTGCTGATTGTGGGAACCCTCATGGCCTTCATGTGCAGGAGTGTCCAAGCTTGGGACTCACCAAATGTAGTGAGAAAATTCCAAGACATCCCTGAGACCTATGTGTACGTGCAGCAGGCACTCTGGTATGCCATGAAGGAGTACAACAAGGCCAGCAACGATGAGTACAACTTCAGGGTCATGAAGATTCTGAAGTCCCAGGAGCAGGTGAGATTCACAGCTTTCCCTGCTCTCACTTCATGGCCTCTGTCTGGGTAATAGAGTTATGATCATAACATAGGAATGGGAGCACAACAGAGAGGTCTTTATTCACAACAGGTTAGTTTTATTTTAGGAGTTTTTGAAGAAAAAAACAATTATCTTTTATCACTCATTATTTTGAGGTAGAGCTGGAATAGAAAATATTCCTTAAAATAACTTAAGATTGGTCTAGTCACATCAAAAGGTAAGAGCAGGGATGCCTGCTGGAAGGTGCACTGAGGTGCCAAGTTTGGGACAGTTTGATTATCAGAAGGAGAACTGGTTGGAAGCAAGCGAGGATACTGTGGGTTTACCAGACATGGAGAAAATGGACTGGGGCATAGGAATGGCTCTTCTTTACAGAAAAAAAGATATATTTTAAATAAGGGACTTAACTAGAAAAAAAAATCACCATTTGCAATCACATGTCATTGGATGTTAGTGAGCCAATTCCTTCTCCTAGATGTGTCAGAATAGATGTCTCCCAAAGAGTGCCTAGCTCTTTATAGAAGCACATTGCCAGTCTCTCTCTTGCAGAGTCTTTGGGTGAGTTCAAATGAACAACCTTTGTAACAATTTGGGTGGATTCAAATTAATTTAATTAAGGTCATCAGTGGGAGAACAATCATCACAGCAATTGCCTCTATGTTACAAAGAAGAATGGGCACTCTTACAGTCACAGAAGGCCGCCATACACATCATGCACCAATAACAGGACACTGTGTCTGTAGAGAACCTTCTTGCCAGCAATGCATCCCTCAAGGCCATCATAACAAATATTCAAAGAAATGCACAATATAGGACATTCTATGAGACCACTTCTACCATTTGTGTCAGTTTGTTGTACGGTGGTGATTTGTGTGTTGCTGAGATTCTAGATGCTATGTCCTGATAAAAAAATCCCAAATACATGAGATGAATTCTTGCCAGCCTTGTTTCTAAGGAACATTTTTGCTATATTTCTTCCCAAACTATTCTATTTATTCTTCTGGTTGTCTATAGTATATTCCATAATCTTCACCAATATGATAATTCAAAACATCCATTAGTTAATCTTCCTTAGTCATATAGATGTATATGAGGTGATTGAAAATACCATGGCTTGGGACTTCTGGGTTAAGACGGCCGACGGAACATCCACACAACAAGATCCTCTACAGCAACCAGGAGAGAACCAGCATAAAGGAGAAACTGAGGAGACAAACATGTTCTTTGATATGAAGAATCTTCATTCCAGTTGAAACCTTGTCAGTCTACATCCATAAGCAAAGTCAAACCAGCATAGCCCATCCATAAAACCAGCAACAATATGCACCAGTTCTCAGGCTCAAAAATCTTATGTTCATCTGGCTGGGTTCTGGTCAAGTGAATGTGGGCCGCCTCACTTAGCTTCACCAAGTGTCCATTGACTGCCTATCCTTTCAACCATGGGCCCGTCACAATTCTCCACAAACCCTAGACCCCTAATAATTGTCCAGAGCACCCAGGGCACTGGGGGTGGCTTACTTTTTCAGAGCTTTCTTTGCAGCCATGTCCTATACCCATTTAAAGATCTAATTTAATGGCTGAAGGCAATAGGTTTACAATCTCTCATTTCATATTTCCCCATAGTCGTTTCTAACATGCATTATAACATTAACAATAAGAAGAAATCAGTATAAACCCAGTACAGCCAAATCCTAAACTCAATTCTTATAATGGTCAAATTCAGTCTTTATTTGTACTATCCCATTCATATTCAATATGGCCTTCAGTCTCTGGCTGCGTCAAGCCAAGGCCGAGCCTTCTGTTGGCCATTTTGACCTTCTGTGAGCCATTTTGACTAAGCAGTATGGTCTCAAAGAAGTTCATAGGGCCATTCCCCCCGCCCCACCCTCCCCAAGCTGAACATTTACATTAGTCACATTCATCTTCACCATTTCAAACAGGAATAACCAAAGACAACAACCAAAGAGAAGAATAAAAACTTTAACTTCCCATATTCTTTCCAGAAAACAATCCAATAAACAGTGTGGCCTCAAATGACCTCTGGCTAATCAAAGAAGAAAAAATACCATAAGGCAGAGATCAAACAAGTATCCATTCTCCATTTTTATGATTTGTTTTTCTAGAACCCCACTCCCACAGTGCGATGATGTGTTAGGCCAGGTTGACTAGAGAAACAAATCCAGGGACACTCATACGTGTAACGAAGGGCTTTAGATAAAAAAGTCAGTATGTATCAAGAAAACATTCCAGGCTAGTCCAACTCAAGTCCATATGTCTAATCCTAGTCCATACATCTAATACTAGGCCATAAGTCCCTCTTCAGACTCATCAAGCCACATGCAATGATGCAGGACAGGAATATCACTGGCTAGTGTGTGCAAAATTCCATGGCTCCAATGGAAGTGGCTCTGGCCGCTCTCCAAGGGACACCATAGCAGGAAGGTAAAGGCAGAGAGAGAGGGGGAGGTTCCCAGGGCCCTCCTTATGAGGAGGTTCCACCCACAACGAGGTACCATCAGGCTGTGACCTGATGGACAGGCTAGACTCCACCCCTACACTTCAAGTTGACACAAGTGCAGTCATTTATCTTCATTAGCAAGCGCTTCAAGTCCTCCTTAGTTTCAGCAAGTGAAGTTATGTCATCAGTTGTGTTACCTGCACATCACAAGTTAATAAGCCTTCTTCCAATTCTAATGTTATATTTCTCTTCATAAAGTCTAGTTTCTTGTATTACTTCTCAGCATACGGAATGAGTAAGTATGGTGACAGGATACAGCCCTGACACACACCTTCCCTGATTTTAAACCATCCAACATTTCCTTGTTCTATTTGAATAATTGTCTCTTGGTTCATATGCATGTTTCATATGAGTGCAACAAAGTCTGATCATGTCATTCTTCCTAAGGTTATCTCTAGTTTTTTATGTTCTACACAGTTGAATGCCTTTGCATGGTCAAGAAAAAACAAGTAAACATCTTTCTGGTGTTCTCTGCTTCCAGTCAACATCCATATGACATCAGCTATGCTATTTTTCATGCCACATCCTCTTCTGAATCTGGCTGGAATTCCTGATTGCTTTCTGTTGATGTTGAATGATCTTCAGTTAAACTTTACTTGCATGTGATAATGATATTGTTCGATAATTTCCCCACTCTTCCAGTCAATTGCCCAGGCAACTATCTTCCAAATTTCTTGGCATAGACAAGTGTGTACTTCTTGTGCTTCATCAGTTTTCCTGAACCCTTTCATACTGTCGATTCCTGGAGACTTGTGTTTCACAGCCTTCGGTGCAACTTGGATTTTTCCTTCAGTACCATTGATTTTGAATCAAATGCTACCTCTTGAAATGGTTGAATGTTAACCAGTTCCTTTTGGTACAGTGACTCTGTGTATGACATCCATCTTCTTTGGATGCTTCCTGCACCAGTCAGTCTATTCCCCATAGAATCTTTCAATAGTGCAACTCTAGGCTTGAATATTTTTGTTCTTTCAGTTTGAGATATACAGAGTATATTCTTACCTTTTGGTTTTCTAATCCCAGGTCTTGGCACAGGTAGGTAGTATATTCCTAGAAACTTATCAATTTCCTATAGGTTTTTAAATTTATGGGAGTACAGGTCTTCATATTATCCTGTTATTGTCTTTTCATTTCAGTTGGTTCTTCTGTGGAGCTGTCCACTTCATTTCTTATTCTTGTTATTGGCATAGTCTTTCCTTTTGTCAGATTGTCAGCATTTTGTTGATATTAATCTTATCAAAGAATCATCTCCTTGTGTTTCTGATTCTTTCTATTGTTTTTCTGTTTTCTGCTTCATCTATTTCTGCTGCTATCTTTATTTTTTATTTTCTCTTATGATTCATTATGGTTTATTTCACTGTGTTTTTTTTTTCTGAGTGTTGGAGATAACTTCATATTATTTCTGGAATAGTTTGAGTAGAATTGGTGTCACCTCTTCACTGAATATTTGGTAGACTTTGCCAGTGAAGCTACATTGGACTGGACTTTTACTTGTTGGGAGTGTAAAAATGACTGGAAAAAATACTTTGTATTATCTCAGTGTTTTAAAATTCATTGATGTGTTTTATGGTCTCACATATGATCTATTCGGGTAAATGCTTCATGAGTCCTGGAAAATAATGTATATTGTGCTGTTATTAGATAATATTCCATATATGTTTATTGGTTATATTGATATGATTGTTTGGTCCTTCTGTATCTTTTTTGAGTTTGTTTCTAGTTGCTTTGTTCTTAATCAAAAGTGGTATATTAAAGTCTTCTGCTCTTAATGTAGAATTTCTTTCTTCAGTTCTGTAAGAGTTTGATTTATGTATTTTGAGGCTCTTTAATTGGATCCATGATATTTATTATAGCTATGTCTTCTTGTTCAATCAACACTCTAGTCTCCAAGGGAGAAAGATGGGGCTTTCTCTTCCAGTAAAGAGTTACACTCTCAGACACTCACATGGGCAGTTCTACCCTGTCCTAGTGGGTCAGCATTGACTCAATGGCAGTGAATTTCACTTTGTGGTTTCCGTCTATATATTGGTTGGCTACTGGGTGTTATTTTCATGAATGCTGACCTCAGATTGTTTTCTTCCATCACTGGTTATCTGCTCAAAGAACTCCCGTTACTATTTCCTGTAAGGTTTGTCTGTTTTCACAAATTTCTTTAAGTTTTCTCCTGGAAATATCCTATTCTCTTTGTCATATTTGAGGGAAAGTTTTAAAGGGCATATAATTCTTGTTTAGCACTTTAAATCATTTCAGTAAAAGGTTTATGTATGTTCCACTGCCTTATTGCCTGCATGATTTCTGGGGAGAAATCAGAGGTTTTTCTTACCGGTTCCCCTTTGTAGTTAATTTTTCATTTTTCCTAAGCAGCTTTCATGATTCTTTCGTTGTGTTTTATTTTGAGGAGTTTGATTATCATTTGTCTTGGTCATTTTCTTTTGAGGTTTATCTGATTTGCTTCATTCAG